AGAAAACAATATCTTCAGTTTCAATCCAGTTGTTGTTGATAATTACAGCCTCTATGGATCTATACACATCTTTCAATTCTTCCTGTGCTGCCTGAAATACAAAAAAGAATACATCATTTAATATTTTGGTTGTTTTCATTGTTACAAAGTTAACTATTTTTTATAATATTTAACAGTCATTTTTTATTACCGGTAGTCATACTCTTTCCATGTTCAACAATTTCTACTATATTTTCTTTAGACCTGACCAGGGGCAGATCCAGATTTTTTCAGACAGGTATCACATTCCAGTTTATTTTGATACGCATGTAATCTGAACCATATAGTATTGTACAAAATTAAGTTAGATACATGTACCTGTCTTGGCTAGCCACCTTGTACTTTCCCAAGGGTCTCTATCAATAAATTTCCTTAATTCTTTCCAGATTATTTGTAAAGTTTTATAATGTGTTAACATTTATTGATAAAATGTCTCGGAATGGTTCCTGATTTGAAGGCATTACAATGTCATATTTATTGTACTTCTTGCAGTTGTATTTCATAAAACCTTCTGTATCTTTAACACTTATGCCCTGTTACTACTACAGACCACTGACCTTACAGATACAAATGTCTCTATCATGGTCGGGGACCCATTTAATTGGTGCTGGGAAAGTGTCAATAGTTCAACACCGAGTTTATAAATATGTTAGAGGGGACAGGTATTGCAAGGGCAGTGTAATACACAAACAAAATCATTAGTCAAGAAATGAAAATAACACAAGAGGCCCAATGGGCCTGCATCGCTCACCTGGTATTAATTTCACACTGGTAACCTTAAAAGTGATCTAAACTAAAGCTAGAGGCTAAATATCAGTATTTATGACTATAAGTCGTTCAAACCAACCTGTTAAAAGATTTTTAAAAATTTGACCCCTGTGACCTTGAAAGTAGAACAAGGTCATTACGTTGGACAAACTTTATAGCCTTCATCTAAGCATGCAACTTGCCAAATATCACTCCCCTAGACCTTTTGTTTAATGGGATTAGGTCATTTAAAGGTTTATAATAATCTGACCAAATGTGAAAGTGGGCCAATATCATTCGAATGATTTGATAACCCTTCAACCAAATATCAACATTCTGGGCCTTATGGTTATTCAGAAGAAGTTGTTTAAAGATTTAAAACAAATTTAACCCCTGTGACCTTGAATATACGTCAAGGTCATTCACTTCAACAAACTTGGTAGCCCTTAATCCAAACATGCTATTGACTAGATATCAACATTCTAGGCCTTTTGGTTATTAAGAATAAGTTGTTTAAAGATTTTTAACATTTTTGATCCCTTTTACCTTGAATAAATGTCAAGGTCATTCATTTGAACAAACTTGGTAGCCCTTCATCCCATCATGTTACGGGCCAAATATCACCATCCCGCGACCTTTGGTTATTCAGAAGAAATTGATTAAAGGTTTTTAGACAATTGACCCATGTGACCTTGAATATGAGTGAAAGTCATTCATTTGAACAAACTTGGAAGCCCTTCACCCCAGCATCCTTCTGGCAAAACATCATCACCCTGGGAATTTTGGTTATTCAAAGGAAGTTGTTTAAAGTAAAAAGTTGACGCCAGACGGATGACGGACGGATGACGGACGCCCCACCACGGCATGAGCTCACTTGGCCCATCGGGCCAGGTGAGCTAAAAATCAAATAAGCTTGCTATGCTCAGAACGAACCCAAAACATAATATATTGATTTCAACATCAAGGTGACAGTGCATCAGAGATGTAATTAAACATAAACTAAATATTGCTTTAAACAAGTTTGGGGGCGTCACATCATATCATTCTGGAGTTTCATCTATATTGCACACTGTTTATGTTGGAACAAATTACCATGTTTTTTTCACTGATTCAGAGTACGTACCTGGCCAGGCAATCTTTACAAGAGTATTCAGTTCACACGTCGAGATACTCGCTGATGCAGTCGGCATAATACCATAATATGAGTGCTGTACAAATAGACCCACTACATTCAAATCCGGCTGATCGGGTTAGTCAAATATTCTACTAAGGGAGATTTGGTTTTGCAGAATACAGGTAAACCGCGGCGGTGACCTTTGGCCTCATCAAGCCAGCTCGGCTGCTTTCCGTCTGACGGGTAGCTAAAGTTGTCAAAGCATAGTTAGCTTTACAGTTCTTTTCTAGTGTTAATGTATTGGTCCTGTAGATCTTTTGTTGCTTACAATAGACTCTACTGAAATGGATAGAATAATTTGGAGAGAGTTTTTTTTATTCTGACAGAAAGAATAGTCATATTCAAGTGGTCAGTGGTAATACCCTGGTCACACATTCACGGATCGACGCCGGATTAAGCACGGATATGATCTGCCATCATTCGTGGTCCGTAGCTGTCCGTATTGTATCCGAAACTTGTTCAAAAATTCACCACGGATCAGACAACTATAGTACATCCTTACTGATCCGTAGTAGAATGTACTAATCCGTTGTAGTCCATAATGAACCTTAATTATCCATACTTATTCGTAGTACATCCCCATCCTTAAGTCGCCAAGGATCGGTACAGTTATTAATGGGAACTACATAATTGTACTTACCCGTACTAAAATTAAAATTAAGCTGTGGAATGAACAGGCGAGGGCGGGAGTTTGTACACGGATTGCTTACCTTGGTAAGTCTGTAGGGCGGGAGTTTGTACACGGATTGCTTACCTTGGTAAGTCTGTAGGGCGGGAGTTTGTACACGGATTGCTTACCTTGGTAAGACTGTAGCGCTCCGTGCGAGTGCTTACTTATCCATGCCAGACCGTTCTAACCAGTACTAAAATCGTAGCGTACTGTTGTTAATCCGCAGTGCATACACCATGACACATGTCATTCTGTATCATTCCCCGTTGTCATTGCATACTTAACCATAAGAAACCGTAGCAATCTGTATCGTTCTCCGTTGTCAACTACATGTAGCCCCTATATATCCATAGTCAAACCGTGGTGCATCTGTAGCGGACCACGGATATAGACTATCCCGGGGTCATCCGTGAGTTTCCATCTGTAGTGGATCTGGTGGGACGATCCGTGAATGTGTGACCAGGGTATAAAATTTCAGGCTTATTTGCAGTGGTAATTTTGTGATATAAAGCAAAACGTTAGTGACCAGAACATTGAGATGGGAACTGTGTACTGTAATTAGGTTGGAACACTACAGTAAGTAGGTCAGAGGAAACCATTTGCTTCGAGGAAAAGTGCGAGAAGCACAATTTCAGCAAGCAGAGCTTTTAGAAAGTTAATCAGAATAATTAATAATTAATTAATACAGGTATTATACATACAAAATACATGCATTGTTGTATTTTTCACATACATCTGACTAATAAAGAAAATATTGAAGTGAATACTTTCAAACTGCCTATTCGCTGGCTAACCACACAATGGTATCACTACTTTATGAATGAAATGTGATGTTCGGGGGCGCTGCCAAAAAATTTGCTTATGAATGAAAAATAGTGAATGATGTGCCATTTAGGAGATATCAGATTCCATATAAGGGCAGAATGTCCATAATAGGACATAGATGTCGCTACTTTTGTTTCTGCAATTCCACGTTAAGCAAACTTTGTAGAATCCTCGATTCCCTAGACACATGCGATACCTTAGGCATGTGTCAACAACTACAGGTATTGTCCCTGAAAAGTGACTCAGACCTGATCAGAGTCTATACCCACCTAGTAAATCATCGTCTCTGCTGTCAAAGAAAAATATCACCTGTAAATAGCTCCAAAGTGTAAAGAGCAGTGTTAATAAGCAATACAAAGTCTAAAAGGCTGTTCAGTTTGCACTGTTTTTATTGATGCATCGTTGCCAGTTACTGTAGAAGGCCCTTATACAACATAATTACAACTGTAACTTTTACTTTCAGAAGATTTTCAAATTTTCACCTCGAAAGAAAAAAGATTTCGGCGAAGCTAAAAATGTTGTCACTTCTTTGTTGCTATGATAGCAACGAGGCAATGCTGAATTAAGCAGGAAAACATTAGAAATATAGCAGGAAAACATTAAACTCATGCAACATGGTGTCAACAAAGTAACAAGTTCATGCTAAGTGAAGCAGAGGATTCATAAACTAAATAGGTTCATGCAGGTTCTATGTAAAGCACTAGTGATTACATGCACATGCATTCCTTGGTAATGATGATATACGGTGTACAACCATCCATCACTAAGTCAGGGACACTCACCCCATGGTGATGTCTTTAGTTACACAAGTGCACTTGCCTTACGGTGAGATCAAAGTTTCCACAAGGCCACTCACCTCGTGGTCACAATTAACACATTTACATTAAAGGAAACCCTATAAATCTCTGTCAATGCTAACAATTGTTTGGTCCTGATCATGACAATGATGGATGGTGGACAGTATTTGTGGATATAATTTGGGTGCAACATTGAAAGTGTAATACCTGACCATGTGATCACATTTAATCCCACACCAGCTGATCAAAAAGTCGCAACGCGACTGAGGAACGGCGGCGACCTAATGATGTCGATGATTTGCTGAAAGTAATTAACATCCTTATACAGAAGAGGTTACACAAGGTATCCTTCCTGAGGAGGAGCAGCTCCCAGTCATGTGTCAGAACACAACAACACACATCAGATATTGGTCTTTTGTCACAAAACCTTTTTGAGCAACAGGTCTTGTATGAAAACTAAATAAGAATACATGTTTTTCTAACTTCTAATGCATTTAGTTAAAGCAAAGTCTAAAGTCTATTGAGCTTACAAAACCCCTGAAAAACAGTGAATGTTTAGATATGAATTGTGTTATGACCTCTCCTGCCAAAAACCCCCATCTCTGTCCTGGATTATTAATACCTAACGTGTTATGATGGAGCTAACCCCTAGTCGAGTCATGCAGCTGTGTTCCAGGGGAGTCCCAGTCATGCTTTCAACAAACGTATATAATAACCCTGCCCAAATACAGATATCTGTTTTAAGTACCTCATAGGGGGGCTGCGACGACTTGATGATATTGAAGCCCGATGTTTACTGAAATTGATAAAGCTTTTAATCATATGTCTCCTTTTATTATAGTGACATCAACTTCAGATGTTGCATGATGGGTGATGTCCAAATATAGATGACACAAGTAGTACCCAAATATAGTGTTTAGTTCAAAACATTGTTAGTAGCAGGATATGACTATGACTAGATAAGTTAATTAAAGAAACAGATTGTATATAACAGAAAAAAAATCTCTATCAAAATTAGAATAGCATCCAAAGCTTTATCCAATAACATCTAAAACTGTAACTTCTAGTCTGAAACTTATCTACCGATGTAGAAATTCATTAACGTAGGCCTTGACCAAAATATTATCTCAAAAACAAAACCGAAAAGAAAAAAAATCTTCCGTTACATAACTAAATTTTGTAGTAAACCAAACCAATTCTTGCAAAACACAAGATTTAAGTGAATATTTATTCTATAGACTTCCCCTCTTTGACATCAATATTACTAATGGACATATGATAGTGCACATCTGTTTACTGCTACATAGAAGTACTGTTGAACTATAGATGGCTGTAAATACAACTTTGACCTTGACACCTTAAAAATATAAATGGTAACATGGACCCTCATTGTAACAGCCTGAAACACAAACCTTACGGTTTTATGAAATTTGATCCAAATCTATTCAGAAATATAGATGCATGAGTGATGACAAATGGTTTCTTGACCTAATAATAATTACATACAAAATGAAAATAGCACTCTGTGTTATTTACTTACTTATTCTTAGTTGCTTTACAGTACAGGTATAATAATCGTTTTAGAATATAAATATACAATATAGAATGTGTATGCACATCATTTCTCTTGTGTATGTTTTTTACTAGACCATTCGTGGAACATAGTGAATTTCCTTCATCACAGCATTACTGCTATGAACCTACAGAACAAAAACACCTGTTCCAGACCCTAAAATGCAAGTGTAGACAGGCCAATGACTTTGACTTTTTGATTGTAGCAGATATAAACTATTGTACAAAGTGAATGCTATCTTTCTGATACATCGCTATGACAAGTTTCTGTGTACATAAGTCACAGTATGATGTTAATTTGGAATGTATCATATTAGGATTCTGTTTCAAACTACAGCGCTCATGACAATCTTGACACCATGGAATACAAACTCATTTGACATTTGAGATATGGTCATGGACTGGATAAGTACATGACAGTACCCCAGGGTGTATACAGTGTTACAGGAAGGTGTATACAATGTTACAGGAAGGTGTTTGCAGTGTTACAGGAAGGTGTATACAGTGTTACAGGAAGTGTATACAGTGTTACAGGAAGGTGTATATAGTGTTACAGGAAGGTGTATACTGTGTTACAGGAAGGTGTATACTGTGTTACAGGAAGGTGTATACAGTGTTACAGGAAGGTGTATACAATGTTACAGGAAGGTGTTTGCAGTGTTACAGGAAGGTGTATACAGTGTTACAGGAAGGTGTATACTGTGTTGTAGATGGGAGCGTCAATCACATTTAACATCAGAGATGGGGAGTAAAGTGATTAAGTTATTGTTTCAGTATTTGATCACAAAAACCACAGCAACAAAATTAATGATTTTACAAAAACAACCAAAAATGATACACTTGTATTACGTAGATCTGTGAGACAACAATGGAAGTAAGCACAAACTATACGTAACAGTAACATGCGACCTGGTACTTACTTGCCCATGAGTCGTTTACGCTCAGAACGACAGGTGTAGGCGCCGTCTTCCTGATCCATCATGTCCTCCAGCTGAGTCTGATCATTGGAATCAATGGGTGCGATGGAGATGTCACGTACCGCACGGAACTGACCACAGTTGTTCAAGTGTTCATTTTCCAACCGGAAAAAGTTCCACACAAATCGTCTGAATATAGTAAAGGAAAAAACGATTTTTTTTAAATACATCTTTCACATTCAATGCCCGTTAAAAAACTTAAACTGTGCTGGGCAAAAAAAGTGGTCAAATGCAGAACTATACCCTTACATAAGTTTCAGATTGAAGATGGCAGTAAGTAGGACATGTAATGAGGAGAGATTTCTGGGGTAGCAGCATATTACACTGTCATGTACCCCATCAGGGAACAGGTCATCAGCATAGTTCAACACCTCAAATGCAGCCGGAAGTCTTACGAGGTCAACAGTGCTGTCAGATTCTTACCTATCTCCACACCTCAAATGAAGCTAGAAGTCTTAGTAACAAGGGGACCAGTCTTTGCTTACCTAAATACTTCTAATGAAGCCAGCAATGTCTTGAGGGCCTCCCCAGGGAAGTATCCTCCCTCTCCTATAGACACAGTTAATGTCCAGGCAAACCTCAGCACAAAGTCTTCCACCATCGCAAAATAATAGTAAGCCTAAAACAATGTCAAATAACTTTACACAAAGTCACAGTAACCCAAAAACATAGTCCTTGTAACCCAAATATATAGTGCTAGTAATCCTAAAACATAGTCTTAGTAACCAAATATATAGTGCTAGTAATCCTAAACATAGTCCTAGTAACCAAATGCATAGTGCTAGTAATCCTAAAACATAGTCCTAGTAACCAAACATATAGTGCTAGTAATCCTTCAACATAGTCCTAGTAACCAAACATATAGTGCTAGTAATTCTAAAACATAGTCCTAGTAACCAAATATATAGTGCTAGTAACCCTACAACATAGTCCTAGTAACCAAACATATAGTGCTAGTAATCCTTCAACATAGTCCTAGTAACCAAACATATAGTGCTAGTAATCCTAAACATAGTCCGAGTAACCAAACATATAGTGCTAGTAATCCTACAACATAGTCCTAGTAACCAAATATATAGTGCTAGTAATCCTAAACATAGTCCTAGTAACCAACCATATAGTGCTAGTAACCCTACAACATAGTCCTAGTAACCAAATATATAGTGCTAGTAATCCTACAACATAGTCCTAGTAACCCTAAAACATAGTCCTAGAAACCGTAAAACACCGCTCTATTAACCTTAATACAGTCATAATAACTCTACAATGGTCGTAGTAAACCTCCGTATACCAGCTTAGCATTACAACTACTCTGTATAGTACAACAGCTTTAGTAGAGTACACGGGAGATAGTTACAACGTACCTTGTAGGCGTACTCTGTATAGTATAACAGCTTTAGTAGAGTACACGGGAGATAGTTACAACGTACCTTGTAGGCGTACTCTGTATAGTATAACAGCTTTAGTAGAGTACAAGGGAGATAGTTACAACGTACCTTGTAGGCGTACTCTGTATAGTATAACAGCTTTAGTAGAGTACAAGGGAGATAGTTACAACGTACCTTGTAGGCGTACTCTGTATAGTATAACAGCTTTAGTAGAGTACAAGGGAGATAGTTACAACGTACCTTGTAGGCGTACTCTGTATAGTATAACAGCTTTAGTAGAGTACAAGGGAGATAGTTACAACGTACCTTGTAGGCGTACTCTGTATAGTATAACAGCTTTAGTAGAGTACAAGGGAGATAGTTACAACGTACCTTGTAGGCGTACTCTGTATAGTATAACAGCTTTAGTAGAGTACAAGGGAGATAGTTACAACGTACCTTGTAGGCGTACTCTGTATAGTATAACAGCTTTAGTAGAGTACAAGGGAGATAGTTACAACGTACCTTGTAGGCGTACTCTGTATAGTATAACAGCTTTAGTAGAGTACAAGGGAGATAGTTACAACGTACCTTGTAGGCGTACTCTGTATAGTATAACAGCTTTAGTAGAGTACAAGGGAGATAGTTACAACGTACCTTGTAGGCGTACTCTGTATAGTATAACAGCTTTAGTAGAGTACAAGGGAGATAGTTACAACGTACCTTGTAGGCGTACTCTGTATAGTATAACAGCTTTAGTAGAGTACAAGGGAGATAGTTACAACGTACCTTGTAGGCGTACTCTGTATAGTATAACAGCTTTAGTAGAGTACAAGGGAGATAGTTACAACGTACCTTGTAGGCGTACTCTGTATAGTATAACAGCTTTAGTAGAGTACAAGGGAGATAGTTACAACGTACCTTGTAGGCGTACTCTGTATAGTATAACAGCTTTAGTAGAGTACAAGGGAGATAGTTACAACGTACCTTGTAGGCGTACTCTGTATAGTATAACAGCTTTAGTAGAGTACAAGGGAGATAGTTACAACGTACCTTGTAGGCGTACTCTGTATAGTATAACAGCTTTAGTAGAGTACAAGGGAGATAGTTACAACGTACCTTGTAGGCGTACTCTGTATAGTATAACAGCTTTAGTAGAGTACAAGGGAGATAGTTACAACGTACCTTGTAGGCGTACTCTGTATAGTATAACAGCTTTAGTAGAGTACAAGGGAGATAGTTACAACGTACCTTGTAGGCGTACTCTGTATAGTATAACAGCTTTAGTAGAGTACAAGGGAGATAGTTACAACGTACCTTGTAGGCGTACTCTGTATAGTATAACAGCTTTAGTAGAGTACAAGGGAGATAGTTACAACGTACCTTGTAGGCGTACTCTGTATAGTATAACAGCTTTAGTAGAGTACAAGGGAGATAGTTACAACGTACCTTGTAGGCGTACTCTGTATAGTATAACAGCTTTAGTAGAGTACAAGGGAGATAGTTACAACGTACCTTGTAGGCGTACTCTGTATAGTATAACAGCTTTAGTAGAGTACAAGGGAGATAGTTACAACGTACCTTGTAGGCGTACTCTGTATAGTATAACAGCTTTAGTAGAGTACAAGGGAGATAGTTACAACGTACCTTGTAGGCGTACTCTGTATAGTATAACAGCTTTAGTAGAGTACAAGGGAGATAGTTACAACGTACCTTGTAGGCGTACTCTGTATAGTATAACAGCTTTAGTAGAGTACACGGGAGATAGTTACAACGTACCTTGTAGGCATACACTATCTCCTCCCGCAGGAAAGTGTTCTCCCCAGCACTATGGTCCAGTAGACCCCAGTCCATCTTAATGTCCCAGGTAAGTGTGTAACAGGTGCTGATGACCGCTGCCGAAATCCACAGGTAAAAAAACACATTGTTCTGGCGCTGCTCTTCCCCATACAGTTCTGATAACAAAAAACCAGTCATGGAGTGAGGAAATATGGTGTAATTAATACCATAGGTTATTAAAATCAGGAGATTGGAATGAGTATGGTTTAATGGGTCAATATATCAGAGACTAGAACAATTACAGTGTAATAGGTAATTATATCAGAGACTGGAGTGAGTATGGTGTAACAGGTGATTATATCAGAGACTGGAGTGAGTATGGTGTAACAGGTGATTATATCAGAGACTGGAGTGAGATTGGTGTAATAGGTGATTATATCAGAGACTGGGGTGAGATTGGTGTAACAGGTGATTATATCAGAGACTGGAGTGAGTATGGTGTAATAGGTGATTATATCAGAGACTGGAGTGAGATTGGTGTAACAGGTGATTATATCAGAGACTGGAGTGAGTATGGTGTAATAGGTGATTATATCAGAGACTGGAGTGAGATTGGTGTAACAGGTGATTATATCAGAGACTGGAGTGAGTATAGTGTAATAGGTGATTATATCAGAGACTGGAGTGAGTTTGGTGTAATAGGTGATTATATCAGAGACTGGAGTGAGATTGGTGTAACAGGTGATTATATCAGAGAGTGGAGTGAGTATGGTGTAATAGGTGAGTATATCAGAGACTGGAGTGAGATTGGTGTAACAGGTGATTATATCAGAGACTGGAGTGAGTATGGTGTAATAGGTGATTATATCAGAGACTGGAGTGAGATTGGTGTAATAGGTGATTATATCAGAGACTGGAGTGAGTATGGTGTAATAGGTGATTATATCAGAGACTGGAGTGAGATTAGTGTAACAGGTGATTATATCAGAGACTGGAGTGAGATTGGTGTAATAGGTGATTATATCAGAGACTGGAGTGAGTTTGGTGTAACAGGACAGTATATGTGAGACAGGAATTCTATGAGTATATACAGATAACTACTTATTACTGAGACCTGCAGAGTACAGACAAATTATCATCTGATTTTACTGATCTTTCCAAATTTGTTACTGAAAAGAAATCTTTGTATGTTTACCAATTTGCACTTTGTACAGTGTGGAAAAAATTGTTGAGAAAAATGTCGTTGAATATTTCCCAGCGTTCACCAGATGAGGGAAGGCAAGCTTGGTGTCACGATAACGACGGAGACACTGTGCAAATCGGAACCAGGCAGGGAGACAGCTGACAACAGCACGGATGCCATACTTATTCATAGTACACACTCCAGGAGCTGAAATTAGAACAGAAAATTTGAATCAAATGTTTATAACAAGAGAGTATAAGGGAACCATTTAGTGGTACAATTAGGGTACAAGTAGTACACTAAATATTGGCTCTGGTGTCACTCGGCACAGTACAGAGGTTAGCTGTGTGGTACAATTAGGGTACAAGTATTACACTAAATATTGGCTCTGGTGTCACTCGACACAGTACAGACGTTAGCTGTGTGGTACAATTAGGTTACAAGTATTACACTAAATATTGGCTCTGGTGTCACTCGAATAAACACAGTACAGATGTTAGCTGTGTGCTACTTACATATATTTGAGAGCCAGTCGACCTCAAATGCATAAAAACATATGAGAAATTCAAAGTCCAGAAGAACTGTAGATAGGCTGTTGAGCTGGTCAGCCAGCCAGAAGTCTGCAAATCCAACTTTGTAAAATGGTGCCAGAAAAATTCGCTTCTGTGAATAAAGACCAACATAGGGTGAAAATCTACACTTGCAAAACACACTGATTGTCCTTAAAACAGGAAAATACCTGGTACTATTTATAGGACCCTATAGTCATCATCTCATCAATACTGTTATGTATGTGGTTCCCATTCAGAGACAAAATTAAGTCCAATATTTTACTGTTTTCTGGAAAAGTCACTCTTGAGAGAAAAATCCCCATCTCTAAATAGAATTCCTCTCAGAACTGGAAACTTGAACAGTTTTGTTTAATTTCCCTAATGTTTCAAAAATCCCTGAAATTTCAGCAGTGTTAAAGTCCTGTATATCTAACTCCAGGGAAGATGTTACGTGAGAAAGCCTTGGTTCCAGTAATTAAAGAGCCACCGTCTATAAATAATTATCTCTAGTAGAGGACATCAGCATGGTGCTTTCAAGTACTTTTAGAAGTCACACTCTAAAATTAGATATCTTTATAAGTAGAGATTGTCATGGTACTTACCAGCACTGTGAAGAGCCACATTCTATAATTAGATATCTTTATAAGTAGAGATTGTCATGGTACTTACCAGCACTGTGAGGAGCCACACTCTATAATTAGATATCTTTATAAGTAGAGA